AGAATACCATACCTTTATTGGAACATGGATAATGTGTATTTAATAAAAAATTTGAATAAAATTTTCTCCTATATAAATTTAATAAAATTATCCTTTTTTAATTTTCTTTTTCAAAATATACTTTTACGTTGAACCATTTAAAAAAGTAGGAGAAGCTTTCTTTCCATCTTTTTCTGAAAATATCATGCAACAATAATTTATTTATTACTTTAAAAGGGACATTGGCACGTGAAAAATCACAACTCAGACTGCAAACAGGATTTCACTCACTTTTGAAACGCTAAAATGCCTTTCCTTTAAAAATTATTCCTTGCTGAAAATTTACACTCTATGCGTAATTTTAAAAGAGTATCAAATTATACGTATACAGGGTGTCTCATTTGAACCTTTGCAATTATCCACTTAATTATTTATTTCGAAAAATGTTTTTAAAACAGAGAATTTACTTTGCTTACTAAAACTGTAGTCGGAAAAATCTTATTCGTAAAATCACAAAAAAAAAATAAAATCATTCGTTTCTGTTTTATCCATTTTAAAATATATTTTTCCACGACCTTTTCATCATAGCCATATAATCGTGTTTCCTACGGTAATCGTATACTACTTTTCCTATATTCCGAAGCATCGTTGTTATCATATGACATCCTGGCATGGATTTTCTACCCTCTGATCGTTTAATATCCCTGAACAGCCCCTATAACTGATATTGGTAGCTCATTGTCCAGGATAAACAACCGATCGAAGCGTGGTTTCGACGTAAGCTTGCGGATAATTCGATCCGTTGACTTTGGTACTTGCGTCAACTCGTTAAGACGTATTAGACCGATGGAACAATAGTATCTTCCCACAAAATCATCTCGTTTACTTGTACGCATGAAAACGAATATTTTTTTCGTATCAATATTTCATAAAATATTCTTGATAAATTATATTTTGACGCGATGAAATTATGAATATTGATGAAATGAATTAAAAAAAAAAAAAAAAAAAAACAACGAAATACGCTAACTTTGCAAAGAAATATTATGTGTGTCAATTTTACGATGATAATTTGTTTCAATCGTTATCCGTGCATTTGATAAATTATATTACGAACAAATTAAAAAAAATAAAAACGATAACCTATGTCAATTTTATGAATAAATAATAAAAAAAAATATTTCAAAAAAAAAAATCGATCGCGTGTAATATACCATCGGATATTACATCAAAGTAACATGTGTTTCAAAAAGTTGTTTTATATAATTTTTGGACAAAAAAGAAAAAAAGATCGTTCAAATAATATCACATCTTACATTTCCATTTAGAGATTAATACGTTTTATTTCACTTTGCTAAAAATAATTCAAGAGGACAATATTCGAAGATGATGGTGTAAAAGCTTCGAAGCAAGCTTCTTCTCAAGAATCTGATTAAATCAGACACGTATATACGTGTTTGAAAACTGGCAGGAGGGCGAGTGCATTCGATTAAATCGGGAAAATATTGAACGTGAAAACTTCGAGAAAGATTAGATAACGAATAAACGTACATTTTTAATATATTTTGTCTTGTA